CCCCCCCGCCCCACCAGGCTCTGCCTCTCGGCTCTCTGAGTCCCCAGTACCCAGATCCTCGCTCACCCAACACTGGCTGCTGCAGACAAAAACAAGGTAACAGATGACCCAGACACATAGCACATGGAGGGTCAGGAGCAGGGGAGCCTGGAGGAATGAGGCCTTGTCCAGAGATGGGGCGGGGCTCGCAGGGTGTCTTGGCAAAGGAGCGGGCAGGGCTGTGCCGGTCGGGGCACTGGGACAGATAGCTGGTCTGGTGGGCAGGTGGCCGATGGAGCAACAGGCCAGTGATGGTCAGAGTAGTGAATGGCACCCCCAAACTGCGAGGATAGGAGCCTTCTCCAAGACAGAATCGGGGCTTCCCTGGAGGAGACAAGAAGGAGGGAGGCGATCAAACACTGGGTGAAGGGAGGAAGGGCAGACACGTGTGCCCAGGGCCACAGCCCATGGATATGCGCGGACAGGAGGGGCCCACACAGGGTGCCCGGCGTCAGACAGCCGAGCAGCTGGGCCCGGCAGGAACCTGGTGAACGGGGTCTGCAGTGCAGGATGGGAGCTGAGCGTGCCGGCACCCCCAGCTCACCTGCTTTCCTACAGATCAGGTTTGTATAAAGGGGCTCAGCTCTACCCCTCCCCTTGGTTCCAATTGTGACTCTCAGCCCTGCAGCCCCACAGCAGAGGGGAAGCCAGAGGGGCCTTGGGGGGAGTTGGGCCCAGGCCCGATCTGCTGAAAACCACACACTCCTGCCCGCCCCCGGCCGGCTGTGGCTGCCAGCAGGGTCCTCCCTCGGGGCACCGCGCAGCGTTCAGGGTGCTGAGGCATCTCTGGACACTCGGGGAGGACAGCTCAGCCCAGAGCCCTGGGAAAGGCCGCTGATGGCAGAAAGGCAGGGGGCAAACAGAGGCCTCTCCCTCCAGGAGAGGAAGCAGCTCTGGGCTGCAGCCCCAGCCAGGCTCCTCTGGGGCAAGGAGACCAACTCGGTGAGTCCGGCCCAGATCCAAACAACCCTTCCCCGCCACCCCTCGGCCACCCGCCTTCCTCCCATCCTGGGCCCCATCACAGAGGCTTCAGAAGAGGCGACGACCCTCCCCAGCCCTAAGGCTCTCGGGACAGCGTCAGGCTATCAGGCCCCGTGGCCACAGCAGGACAAACACTTGACCCACCTTTGACAGGCGAAGGACTCCTCTTTTGCATTAGTGACCCTGTTTCAAGAAAAATCCAGGCGAGAGTTTTATAAAACTAGACAGCACAACCCCTGCCAACTGCACCTTCTGTGCGCCCAGCTCTCAACTCCCTGGTGAGCTCGGGAGGGACCCGAGGCCCCTGGAGCCAACCATTCACACCTCACATCTGTGTGTGTCCGAGGGCGTGGCTCTAACATGGCACATGGGGCAGAGGTGGCTGGCGACCCCGGGCTGTGCCTGCACCACACGGGACCAACAACCTCACCCCGAGATGGACCAGAGGCTCCTCCCCCCGCTGTGAGGTGCCCCGGGAAGGAAGGCTGGCTTGGAGGAGGTTGGATTGTGGGGTGCTGGAGGCTCCCCCTGCCACCCCACACCCCTAGATCCTTACCGCACTGGAGCTCGCATGGCTGAGCTTATCAAAGCGGAATTTCAGGTTTGACCTCGGGGAATTTCTGCTTTTGGCATCTAGGAAAAAGAAGAATGCCCATGAAGAGGAGGAGGTCATGCCCATGAAGAGGGTGGGGCTGCAGAGGTCATGGGCTGCTGGGGAACTGGGCAGGGAGGCCAGAAGGGACGCCTCCCCTCCATTCTAGCTCAGTGGTCGGCAAACTGCAGCTCGCGAGCCACATGTGGCTCGCGAGCCGCAGTTTGCCGACCACTGCTCTAGCTGATGCACCAATTCACAAGACCCAACCCTTATATTTTTACAAATGTTGTGAGCTGGTTGTACACACACAGTCACAAGCCTGGGTTGCAGGTTCGATCCCCAGCCTTAGTTTGGGGCATATGTGGGAGGCAACCAATCGATGTTATTTCTCTCACATCAATGTCCCTCTCCCTCTCTCTCTCTCTTCCTCCCTCCTTTCCACTCTCTCTAAAAAATAAAATAAAATCAATGGAAAAAATATCCTCCAGTAAGGATTAAAAAAAAATTAAGTATAAACTTATAATTAAGTGATATTTGTCAAAGGTAATAAATACTCAAAAGTCATCACTTCCTTATTATTTCACTACATTTTACCACTCCCTATTCATTTAAGGTTATTTACGCCAGTCACACTGGTGGCTTGAGATCAGCAAATGCTACAAACCAACCTGATCTGCTGTTTTGTTGTTGAGACTTCAGAAACTAATAGAGAGAATCTTATATAATAAAAGGGTAATATGCAAATAGACCAAACGGCAGAACAACCAACCAAAGTATAATATGCTAATGATATGCTAAGGCTGCTCAACCAGTTGCTATGACATGCACTGACCACCAGGGGGAAGATGCTCTGATCCGTAGGTTAGCTTGCTGCTGGGGTCCAGCTGATCAGGGCTAAGCGAGATGGGCCGGACACGCCCTGGAGCCCTCCGGTGGTCCCTCCCTGGCCAAGTCATGCACCAGTGGGGTCCCTCAGCCTGGCCTGCACCCTCTCGCAATCTGGGATCCCTGGGTGATGTCGAAGAGCTGGTTTCAGCCAGATCCTGCAGGCCACTCCCTTGGGAGGGCACCAGATGCAGGACTCATGGCTGGTGAGCGCTGCTGCAGCAGCCTCTCCTGATCGGGACTGACTGGGCGCGAGCCCGCAGCAGGCACAGTAGGCCTGGGATGAGTGGGAGCGGCAGGTAGGAGCTGCAGGAGGCGCTGGACTGCAGGTTTCAGCTCCCCCCGCCCCACCGCAGGCCACCCAGAGGGACCCTACCCGTGCACGAATTCGTGCATCAGGCCTCTAGTATTAGTAATATAGACTCAATGTGAAAGTGTATGTGTCTACAGCATTGTGAATAGCACAAAAAAATAAGAAATATTCTTCCAGTATTTGAGGCATGGAAAGGCTGAGGAACGTGTCCAATGTCACATCGCTCATAAGTGGTGGACCCAGGGCCCTCTGCTTGCCCCCCACCCCGCTGTGCTGCCCTCCTGGAGGGTGGGACCAAGGCTCTGACTTCCAGGCACCCACAGAGCCCGTCAGTGCCTACCAGGCACGTCTACCTACATGCCCCTCAGGTGCCAACCCTTCACCCTCTCCCCAGAACCAGCTCCTCCTACTCTGTCCAACTGCAGGGATCCCAGAACCCCAAGAGGCCCAGACTCCTTGCTCTCCCTGAAGCCCCCACTACTGAGCCCCAAAGATTTTACATCCTTGGCATCTCTTGAATCCAATGCTCCATCACCCCACACTCCATGGCCCATCACCCCTCACCACTCACTGTGACCCTCGCTGATCTTCCCCCTGCACCTGCTCCCACCAATCCTTCCTCCTGGGCCAGCTGCAGCCACAAAATGGTCTTTCTCAACCCCAGATGGCACTTCTCTACTTAAGAACCTTCAAAGACTTAAGACCTTCCATGGCTTCCACTGCCTATGGGATGAAGCCCAAATCCTCACCAGGGGCAGCCCTGGCTCTGTCCCCTAACACTGTCTCCTCTCTCACCTGTCCCCTGTCACCTTGGCCCTGTCCACTAACACTGTGTCCTCTCTCACCTGTCCCCTGTCACCGTTGTGAACTCCAGCCCCACTGACCCACGTGTGGTTCCAGATCACGGCTTCTCAGTTCCCTGCAGGCCTCTCATGTGCTTTCCCCTCCACCTGCAATGCTCTCCCCACCTGGTACCCTTGCATTTGGAGGACCATCGCTGTGATGGGGCCCTGAGTCGGTGATGGGGAGGAGCGAGGGGTCTGTGGGAAGAACCTCGGCTTTCGACTCACACAGGCCTCACACGGGGGTTTGACCGAGACTGGCCAGTTCCGGACGCCTGGGGCTGGCACCCCACAAACAGTGCTCAGGGCACAGCCCTGCCCTGGCCGCAAGGTGCACACCGACCTGTCGGACTCCGACTCATGATGATGGGGGTGGTGGCTGCCCCCAGGCTGGGGCTCTCGCTGCTTGGGGACGGGCTGTAGACAAACACCTCCTGCTTGAAGGGCGAGGTTGTGGACGGCTGGCTGCTCTGGGGAGAGAGGCCGGGTGAGCGAGGAGGGCCCACCCTCCGCTGATCCTGCTGCCTCCAGCCCTGGCTCCCCTCCACCCCCAGGCAGTGCCCCTGACCACACCCATGCAGCGCTGAGCCCTCTCCTCTCCAGCCAGAAACCCACGGCAGGGACACGCTCAGCCTGACCTCTGACCCTCTGCTGCTGCTGCTCCTCTGTCACCCCAGGGAGACCCCGAACCACCGCTCCCAGAGGGTGGAGACGGCTGGGGGTGCCACCTCTTGTTTCCAAACTCCCCGCTCTCCCCAGAGCCAGGAGGGGGCTCTGCCCACAGGAGCTATTTTAACACCCAGAACGGTGGGCCCAAGTGCCTCCCACTTCCCAGGTTGGCCAGGCCGCACCTACCCCACTGTCACACTCCTCCATGGCCTCGCCCTCCCCGGCCGTGCTGCTGAAGCTGCTGGTGCTGGAGGAGGAGCGGGAGATGTTGGCCCGGCCGTTCTCCTTCAACTTCATGAAGGGCCTGCAGGGGCGGGAAGGCGGCCCTGGTCACACGTGGGGCCGCGGGAGGGCAGGCCCCGCACAGACTGAGTGGCTCCCCGTGGCCCTGCCTGCCGGCTGGTGCGTTCCACAGAGACCCCAAAGCGGGAGATGCTGGAGCAGAGACCTAGTCCAGGGCCCGCGGGGCTGAAGCCGCCTCCCCACCCTCACTCTTACTTCTCCTTGCTGGGGCAGATCTCCGGGGAGCTGGGGTTGGACGAGGTCTCAGACTTGATCTCCTGAGAAGAGTGCGCGCCGTCCACAGTCTTGGGGTTGCTGGATGCACTGTCGCTGGGGAGACGAGGATGAAGACGGGTGAACCGGTTCCCAGCCCCCTCCTCACCCCCGGGCCCGAGACTGCACCATGGGGGCCTGTGGGGTCACAGCATTCCCGACAGAGCACGGCCACCAGGACATCTATCCCACCTGCCCCCATCAGACAACAGGGTCTTCTGCTTTGCCAGGGTCCCCTGCAGGCTCCTGGGTGGGAGTCCAGAGCTACCAGGCTGGAGTCCCGGCTTGATGCCCCCGAGCCCAAGTCCATCCCAGCTGGCAGAGCTCTAGGTCAAGGGCGGGCCACAGAGGGGATGGAGAGGGCTGGGACATCCACCATCACAGCCAGCGCACACGCACCCCTGGGGGCGCCGGTGGGGCCAGGGCTGCAGAATGCCAGGGGACACCCTTCACACGGGCTACAAAATGCACTCCCCGGAGGCGTGTGCTGAGTGCTGGGAAGGGCTTCTGGGTAAATAGGCTACTCGCAGCCAGGACCGAGGGTTTCCTTCCGCAGTTTAACAAACGCTGCCCATTAGCTGCTCGGTGCCCACTGTTGGGGCCCTGTCCCTAATGTACTTTTATTTTCGTGGCAGCTTCATGGGGATACAATCCACATTCAACGCACTCATTTAAACTGTGCGATTCAGTGGTTTTTAGTATATTCACGACCATGACCGCCATCTAATTTTAGAACATTCCCACCCTCCCTCAAAGAAACCCCAGACCCACTCACAACCACTCGCATTCCTCCTGCCCCTGGCCCCTGACAGAATCTACTTCCTGTCCCTATGCATTTGCCTGTTCTGGACATTTCCTAAGAATGGAGCCATACAATACGGTTGGTCTTTTTGTGAGTGGCTTCTTTTGTGAGTGGCTAGTGTTTTAAAGGCTCGTCCATGTTGTAGCCTGTGTCCCTCAGCACCTCACTCCTTTTTACTGCAAGATAATACTCCACTTTTTGGATGGGCACGTGGACCGTTCTCACTGGGGGCTACTATGACAACGCTGCCACGGACATCCGTGTGCCGGTGCTTATGCAGACACGTGTGTTCTTTCCCTCGGGCACGCACCTGGCGTGGAACTGCTGGGCCTTCTGGCAACTCCACGGTTAACCCTCTGAGGAGTGGCCAGGCTGTTTGTTAAACAGCCTCATGGGTTCACAGTCCCACCAGCAATGCACGAGGGTTCCAATCTCTCTACATCCTTGGTTCCAATCTCTCTACATCCTTGGTTCCAATCTCTCTACATCCTTGGTTCCAATCTCTCTACATCCTTGGTTCCAATCTCTCTACATCCTTGGTTCCAATCTCTCTACATCCTTGGTTCCAATCTCTCTACATCCTTGGTTCCAATCTCTCTACATCCTTGGTTCCAATCTCTCTACATCCTTGGTTCCAATCTCTCTACATCCTTGGTTCCAATCTCTCTACATCCTTGGTTCCAATCTCTCTACATCCTTGGTTCCAATCTCTCTACATCCTTGGTTCCAATCTCTCTACATCCTTGGTTCCAATCTCTCTACATCCTTGCCAACCGGTCCTTCTTGCCTTTCTTATTATAACCATCCCGGAGGCAGGAAGTGCCTCGGTGTACTTCTAACGAGGTCACCAGGGACCTCCTAAGTGCCCACCCAGCAGGGGTTGGGGCCCCTGTGCTAGACTTCCCTGCTCGGCTGCCACTGCGGACCTCCCTCCTGCAGTGCCTCCTGCCCCGGCTTCTGAGGGTCCTCCCTCCCCTCCTCTCTTCCTCCTCGCTCCCCTTCCTTCCCTGTCTTTTCCCTGGCTCTGCCTCCTTTCTCCACTTGCCCTTCAGTGCTGGTGCTCCCCAGGCATTCTCCACACCCCCTTAGGGGAGCGTATTCATTGATTCATCTTAAGCACCACCTCCCCGCCCTCTCTCCCCCAGTGACTCCCACCTCTCCTTCTCCAGTCACGCCTCTCCCCCAAGCTCAAGACCAGCAATTCTGACCACTCAGAGCTCTGGGTCTCCCCCGCTGAGTGGGCCACAAGGACTCACTCACACACACAGCTTCCAAACAGAGCTCTCCATCCCCCTCCATCACCCCCCTCGTCCTGCGTGGCCAGGCCCGGTGGCTGGGGCCACAGCCAGGGCTACAGGAAGACAACTTGTACACGTGGAGGTCAACCTGCCTGCCTCCCTTTCCTTCAAGAGACTGTAAGCTCCTGGAGGGCAGGTTTGCGTCTTTGGAGCTCCTGTCTGAGCACGGAGCCCCACACACCCGGCACGCGAGGGATGCTGCTCGGAACTAAACACCAGGTGGGCTCACTGACTAAAGGATCAGAAAGACAATTAGCAAGAACAGGGGGAAGTAGGATATGAGAGCTGGTGAGCCGTACGAGTTCTTCACATATTTTTGGAAATTAGCCCCCTATCAGATGTGTCATTGGCAAATGTGCTCTCCCGCACAGTGGGCTCCCCCTGCATTTTGTGGGTGGCTTCTCCTGCTGTGCAGAAGCTTCTGAGTTTGATGTAGTCCCGTCTGCTTACTTTCCCCTTTGCTCTATGCTGAGCAAAAGCAGCCAGTCAGAAAGAGGCAGCTACCGCATGATCTCACTTACAGGTGGGACCTAATGAACAGAATAGACGGACCAACAAACCGACATGGAGACATGGGACAGACTGAGAGATCTCAGAGGGAGGGGGAGGGGCAGGGAGAGATTAACCAGAGAACCTATATGCACATATGCATCGTCCATAGTGCGGGTGAAGGCCTGGGAGGGGGCAAAGCGGGGAGAAATGGGGGACCTCTGTAATAAACAATGAAAATAAATTCTAAAAAAGGAAGGGAGGGAGGGAGGAAGGGAGGGAGGGAGGGAGGAAATTCTGGGAGCCCAAAGGCAGGTTCCACGCACTCTGCTGTCAGAATCAGGGAAGGCCTCCATAAAGAGGACATCTGAGTGAGCTTTGCAAGAGGAAGCACAGAAAGAAACGACTTTGAGCAGTGTTTCCAGCTGGGGCCAAACTGTGAGGAAGCCCCTCTGACTGTCGGGTGCAGGGACCGCAAAGCTGCCCAGTGGACCCAGCACTGGATGAGTGACGGGGGACATGGGGCCTGACGTGGGGACCAGGGTTAGAAGGAAGCCATCGCTCGACACCGAAGCTGCGCGCAGCCCTCCCCCTCCCGAGGAGCTCACCCACGCCACGCGGGACACTCACCACCGCGTCCGGCTGTCCCCTTGGCCTTCAGAGCCCGTGTGCAGACGGGGGAAGAGCCCGGACCGCCGCTTGATAGGGCTCCGCGACTGGTTCTTGGCAGTTGCCGCCGCCACTGGAGGCTGCCAACGAGACCACCAGAATGAGCGCTCACTCCCCAAACCCAGGTCTCCTTCCCTCCACCCCCCTTCCCAGTCTACAAAGCGCCTGTGCCCCACCCCCCACGCCCACAACTGGTCTGGAGAGATCCCCAGAAACGAGACAGCTGGGAAGGGTGGGGTCTGTGGAGCAGGAGCTATGTATGACCTGCGGCTCAAGCCACCTGCAGCCTGTTTTCCTGTGTTCTTAACCCAACCCTTACGGCCCTGGGTAACAATCCCCTAGAACAGAATTCCTGGAGGAACATGGGGTCAGGGCCACCCTAAGGAGAGCCCCACATACGGAGAGGACAGGGTGACTCAGGGGGTCACGGACTGGGAACCACAAGCTGAGAGAGTCCTGGGAGCGACCCGGTCCAACCTCTCGCTTGACCGAGGAGGATGTGGAGGAGGCGAGGGGCGAGGGAATTTTGTCAAGGTCACGCCGCAAACCCCTGGCAGGACAAGCATGATGTCCACATGCACCCACGGGCAGAGGGAGCCTGCCAGGCATGTGGCTCTGCTCCTGCCACGTGTGGGGGACGACGGACGGAGGGCGGCGGAATGAGAAGCGGGAGATGGGAGCCCGCCAGGCCGCTAAGCCAGGCCGGTCCCAGCGTTTGCCATTCCCATGCGGTGCAACCTTGGGCAAGTGGACGAATTCTCTGGGCCTCGGTCTCAGCCACAGATTGGAGAGAACTGCCCTGCCCTGCTCACCTCACAGACCCTCTGGGAGGAACAAGATAATAGCTATGAAAACACTATTTGGTGAATCAAATGAATTACACAAGACCATTCACAATACCAATTGCCAGGATCGTGGTGGGTATGTTCTGCTATGACAGAAAAAAACAAGAAAACCCCAACGGGCACAAATCCACAGCCACTTTGCTTTATCAAAGGAGGGACTCTGGCCCCCTCACCTGGCCGGCTCCTGGTACAAGCTGACCAGACCCAAATCCCCGGACCGGCCAGGCTCTCTTTTCTTGGAACTGTACACAGTGATTAGGAGCAAAGACTTAGGATCTGGGCGGCCTGCACTCGAAGCCCAGTTCTTCGGCTTTGCTGGGTGACCTCCAGCAAGTTGCCTAACCTCTCTGGGCCTCCCCTTCCTCGGATGTACAATGGACAGCACCCAGCACCTCCCTCACACAGCTGTCACAGGGACCGTGAGTTACTTAGCTCTGTGCCCGGTGCACAGCAAGCAGGGGCAGCCACCTGTCGTTAGGAATAACAAAGGGAGGGCCCTCTCACAGGCCCAGGACCCAGGGCCACTGCACAGGGTCGGTCCCGAGGAGGCCCGGGTGTCAAGGAAACTCAAAGAGCGGGACCCCGGCCCCAAGTGCTGCCTGGCTGGAGGCTCAGTTTCCCTCCCCACGATCCGGCTCGCCCTGCCGACCGCCTGGCCCAGGCCTGGGTGAACACATCCCGCCTCCCTCCACCACGGCCTGGGGGGCCCAGAGCCTGCAGACACTCACCGAAAAGGTGGTCTTGGTGACCTCCACGCTGTTGTGGGAGATGCCCCCGCTGAGGCTGCCGGGGAGGCCCCCGCTGTGTGGCTTCTTCTGGCTGGTTACCATGGTCTCCATGGAGTGGCTGCGCACGCGGATGGCCCTCTGTGGGGACAGCAGGTGGGGGGGCCTGAGAGTTGCAGCCAGGCCACTTCAGATGACCCCGCTGCCTCAGTGGGATCTGCAGGCACACTCTCGCACACGCTCTCTCTCTTTCTCTCGGCAGCCCACGTGCTAATCACTACGGGCTGCAGAGGGCTGTCACATGCTCTGGGCACGTGGCGCTCTGCAGGCAGAGGCGAGGGAGGGCATTGACAGAGGAGTCTGAGGGGTCAGCGCCCCAGAGGCCCTGCGAGGTGGACAGAGGCTGTGACGGGGAAGGAGAGTGGGGCTTGGAGTTTTAACAAATCCATGGTCCCAGCAGCAGAAAACTAAGCGTCCTTCTATATTTAAACACTGGGTATCCCTTCTGCTGTCACCCCAAGGTGTGCCTGGTATAACTTGGAACATGTTCGCAGTTGATGCCCTGTGGCCAGAGCACTCCCAGACTCGCAGCACCTAACGATGAGCCCGCAGCTGGTGCCACTGCTGACACAGGACATGCACTCTCAGACGCCAGGCGTGAGGCCTCAGAGGGCCCGGAGCTGCTCAGGCCGCGTGGAGCCCTGTGCCCACTTAGGGCCACCAAAGGACAAAGGGCCCATCTGTACACAGTGCAGTGTCCAGGAGGGGACAGCCAGGATAGTCACCGGTCCCAGTGCGTGCAAGGATGAGAACAGGTAAAATGAAGATTGCCGCGCCCGCAGCAGGGAGCAAGCTGGGAGGCGCTGGCTGCTCTCGGGCTGCTCGGCAGGGCTCTGCAGGCCACCTGCGTTGCTCTGGAACCTGACCCAAGGGGATGGTTAGAGTGAGGCAGACAGATCCCACCCGGACCCGAGGGAGGATTTCCTGACATGGGAAGTCCTAGAGGCTTCCACCCGCCATGTGGACGATCCTCCCTGGTCCCAAAGGCCTTCAAAGATGACACGAGTTCTAGGAAGGGAAGTTTCTCTCTGGGATCCCCCAAACCCCACATCACTCCCTCTGACCACTCATTCAGTCCCTCGATGATGCGGCCAGGTGGCCACACCTATAAAGCTCTTAGCAGAGCACCCGGCACATACTAAGTACCCAACCAACGTGGCTACTCTTCTTGTTAATAGCGAGCATCTGTCATGTGCTTCCTGTGTGCCCAGCCCTGCCAGAAGCTGGGAGAATTGCAGGAGGGGAGTCAAAGACATATGAGACACAGCCCCTGCCTCCAAGGAGTGTACAGGTAGCAGGGAAACAAGACATCCCTAAAATTAGGGCAACGGAAAAGGCCCAGGCCTGTGGGTGCTCCCGCTGTGTTAACCAGCTGTCCGGGCCCCCAGGGCCTCAGAGCCACATGCAAAGACTCAGGGACGCAGACATTACTAGTTGCTCACACACAAGTGCCATCCCCCCTGCTCCTTGCTGGCAGAGCTGCTGTCTGGCCCAACGTCCTCTCTTCCTCCACAGGACAGAGGAGTAAATCATGGCCCTCTGAGGCAGTCACATCATCCATCCCCTTGCCAGGGGGACAGGAGGGGACGTCACTGGGGGCTTTGAGGAAAGATCTCAGCGATTCCCGAAAGAGGTGTGACACCTCTGCACCTAGGACCGCAGCAGCCACCGTGGGGCTGTGAGCGGTCAAGCCTACGGGCGAAGCTGACAAGATGGGGAGGGAAGAGGGGCCCGGGGAGGGAACCTGCCCGCCACTGACCACGCTGAGCCATGAGCCGCCTGGGCCTTCTGGTTAAGTGAGCTGGCGCAGTGGTCGGCAAACTCATTAGTCAACAGAGCCAAATAGCAACAGTACTTCTTCAAAATAGACTCGCCCAGGCCGAAAACCGACTTCTGCGCACGGGCCATGAAGTTTCAATCGCACTGTACACCCGCCCGCATGTGGTATCTTGTGGAAGAGCCACACTCAAGGGGCCAAAGAGCTGCATGTGGCTCGAGAGCCGCAGTTTGCCGACCACGGAGCTAGTGGATCTTCCTCACTGCGTGAGTCAGCTGAGGGCGGGAGATTCTCAGAACCTCAGCTTCAGAACACTGATGCAGAAGGACAAACGTGGGACACAGCCCACACCCTCACCTGGTTCACACCCACACGGAACCACACGTGTCTGCTTACGCGCTCCATGTGCCCACCTACGTGGAACGGCTGCTCTTCCCTCCCTTGAAGCGTTGAGTCTACGGAAAGGTAGTCCCAAGAAAGCAGCGGGAATGCTGCCCCCAACCCAAATCGCAGGGCCCCCGGGAGCTCTCCCCACGGTCGGGAATTCGCCAAGCTCAGGAGTGGCCGAGGACCGCACTCTGCCTGCCTTTCTGTCCCGGGGAGGGAGCTGACTCAGGAAGGAGGGCCGTCCGCAAAGATGATGGCCCTGGAGGCCAGCTCCCCTTGAACGAGGCAGGGAGCCCACCAGCCGTGTACCCCTGACGGCATTCATCGGGCCTGGTCTGTGTGAGCCGAAGACGCCCCTCGAAGGACATCAACTCTCTCTCTTTCTAGACCACAGAAGAGTCACCTAGCAACAGTGTCCGCAACATGGATACACAGCCAGCACCTTCCATTCATTCCGCCACCCAAAGATCATTCAGCCGTGTGCCCTCAGAACACTGAAGGCAGGGAGGTGTGGCGCCACTCGGAGGCGTCCTTGGATAAACAGTTTCCCCAAATGACTCAAGTGCTCCATCAACTCAGCCTCATTCCATTCCATTGGTGCCGCCACCACCACCGTCATCAATTGTGACATGTCAATGAATCATTTATGTTCGGATGCTTTCTCACGGTCTCTTTGCAGAGAAAACTAAATGTGTGTCATGAGCCCTGTGTGATGGCAGCTGGTCCACTGAGCTTCACGCACGTGACCTTACTACATCCTTCCAGCTCTGAGACGCAGAGAGGACAGACACAGAGAAAAGGTCCTGAAACGAAAATGACTGCCGAGGTCACACCAAAGGTAAGAGATGGAACCAGGACCACACCCAGGACACTGGGCTCCAGACGAAATGATCCCAACAAGGAGCCCAGCTTGAACATATAATCCAACTGGTTGAGGGACTGAGGGTGATTAGAAACCACGTGGTTTCGATCTCCCTGACATTAGGGAGGACTCTTCTCCCCAAAGGCCCGTGGTGCTGCTGAGTCAGTGGGGTAAGACTGAGGACACGGTGGCTGGCAGGGAACTCCAGGGAGGTGAGGGGCTTGACTCCTGGTTCTTCCCAGCACAGTGTGTGAGCCTCTCGGAGACAGGCATGGTGATGGGCCCCACGCGAGGATAACACGATGGATGACAACTCCCTGGCCTGACACCTGCTTACTCAAGGTCATCTTGCCCCCACCCCACCACTGGGAAAAGAGAGATGATGGCCACCTTGAAACCCTACAGCGATGCTCCATTTGGACAAAATCACCCAGTGACATGGTCTAACGTATGTCACATGTCAATCTGATGTAGAGCTGGACACACTAGCCTTTCAAATCGGTCAGAAGCGTCAGGTGCAGGGCGAAGGAGAGGACAGAGGGCGGCGATGTGGGAAGAGGGAGGCAGGAGAGAAGAGGACAGGCCCACGAAGCCTTTGCCGGGGCATCAGGAGGTCTCCGGGGACCACCTGGCCCCTCTCCCCCTCGGCCCTGCACATCCAGGCCACAGTTCTTGTCCTCTCCGCTTCCATCTGCCCGGGGACGGGCTGCTCACTGCCTTCAGGGACGAACAGCCTGGCCTTTGAAAAGATCTTCTGTGCACCAAGCTGGAATCTTACCGTTTCCAGATGTTGGCGTCACGGACTAATCTGTTCCATACGTCACACCACTATCCCTGTCTGTCCTCAGCTGCTCTCCTCCGAGCTGATCACCTCTAGTTCTGTCTCCCACCCTCCTCACCACGGTTTCCCAGCCCTCGGCGCACCTTTGCAGGAGTGAGAAAAGACGGATGGAGTCACTCCCTCACGTCTGCGTATGTCTCACCAGTTAGTGTCACAGAGGGAGCGCATCTCCTCTGGGCCGACCACAAATCCCGCTTCTTTACAAATGGGTTTTGTGAGTTGTTTCAATCTAACAAACTCAACTTGGGGGACCCAGTGCACAAGGGTAACACTAGGGGGACACATGCTTATCTGTACCAAGTAAGCAACAGAGGCAGGGCCCACGGAGAGAAAGACGTTAGTTTCTTGCCGGCTGTGACGGCCCCTTAATCGGAAGAATCTGAGGTCCGGAACAGGGTCTTCTGCCCCTTGAGCAGCACAAATAAAGGAGGAAGGCTGGCGGGAGTAGGAAATATCCCTCCATGTCTCCTTTCAGACGGAGCAGAGCTCCACTCCATGAGCGGCCCCAGCCTGCGGGCACTCTGCGGGAGCTACCTGCAGAGTGGTGCTCCGGCCACTAGGGGTCAGAGCAGACCAGTGCATCGGCTGCCAGCCCGGCAGATGCGGGGAGAAATTCACCCAACACTCCGCTCCCCGCCATCCCAGCTCTGGGGCTGGTGGTGACCTTCTCCTCCGGCCCTCTATGCCCCTTCTCCATAATGAGGTCATCGGGGGGTTGCTCAGGGTTTCTCAAAATGTGGCTCACACAGGCTCTGTGTACATATGTTGATACATCAAGTAGCACCCCTTTTCCTGTCCATTTTATTAGGGACCAACAGAAACTTCAACAGCGGGCAGTGGCTGAGCACGGCATTTGAGGACAACAGTTTAGAGATCAATATTTTTCAAAGGTGAGTAACACACAGCTCCTTGAAAAGGAAAAGTATTCTGGGTGGAGCAGGGCGATGGGGGGAGGAATGCGGAACATCTGTAACAATGTCAACAATAACTAATATCTATGTTTTTTAAATAAAACTATTCTTGCCAGACTATGTCCACAGACCCCCAGCACCGGTGGCCCCCGGATGCATTGGCCCCTGCTTACTTGCTCGTGTCTTTCGGTTGTGAGTCTTGCTGCAAAAGTTTAATCTCAACTGGAAATACATTTGTTTATATCATCCGCTAAGTAAAAATGCAAAATGTGTCAGTGTTTGCAGAACTGGAGGATTCCTGAGAATATCCCCAAGCTCCTCCGAAGCAGGTCCAGGCGTCCTTGAACCCACTGTTCTGTTTCTCATGGAAAAAACACTAAACCGACCGCCATGAACGGAAGCCAGACGGACAGACGTGAAGAAGAGCTACTCTAAGTGGTGTGAGGAGCCCGGAGCACAGCCTGGGGCAGCGACGGGTCTGCTTCTAGGCAGAGGGACAAAGGGCCCCGGGCTGTAGGGGAGGGGGAGCAGCCACAGAGGCCGGGATGGGTGGCTGGGGTCGCTGTGAGCCCTGGGACTTCTCGATTATGTTTCTGTGCATCTGTGGGACGAGAACTGTGACAGGAAGGAGAGAGGACCTGCAACTTCTCTTCCTGGAATCATTTCACGCACCTCTCCTTGCAAGAAGGACTTCGTGGCGGTCCAGATGGAACGCCAAGAGGAACGCCGATAATTCTGACACCACAGCACCGTCCAAGGTGCCTGGGAAGAGACAGCGAAACTAAAGACAGTTTCCTGGGCTGGGGCAGACCACAGCCGGGGACACTCACCAAAGGCAACGACGGAACGGATGCACAGGGCAAAGAGCTGGTCCCGGCGGGAGGAGGAAACAAAGCTACTCCTATTCGGCAGAGCTCGGAAGGTTTGCTCTGTGCGACTGACCGTGACGGCCCCCCCCCTTACCCCACAGTGCACCTCAGACACAGGCGGGAAGCAGAAGGTAGGAGGGACTGCCTTCAGCCTACAGTGGGGAGGATTTAGGGTTGAAAAGAAAACTTCCCTGGATTTCTGGATCAGAGACAAGGAATGGACAAGGCCTGGAGCATCTCCCTCTCTGGGAACCCCGGTAGTCAGGCTGTCGGAGTCGGCTCAGAGGCAGGGGACTGGGAAATGGCCTTGGGTCACTGTCCTTTAGACCCACAACCCGAGGTCAAGGCCAGGCCGTTTTATCCACTGGGCACCGTGGGCCCGGTGTGCACAGCCTGCGGGAGTTCCCAGGTTATAGAAATATTTGAAAACTGAAAAAACTATTGTTAACTCCAAGAGACAGAGAGAAACCTGCAAAACTGAAAGCAACAAGTCACTAGATGTCTGCGGCCAACAACAGCTCGAGTCATGGACAAGGACATCTGCCACGGAAGCCGGGAGCATCTGATACCCTTGCTGGGATGTGGGGCGGAGCCCACAGAGGCGTTCCTAGTTCCCTGGTCTCCCATTCACCCCTCCCTCTGCCGGGCTAGCTGCCTGCTCCCTCTTCCCTCCCCCGTCCCTCTTCTCCCCCACCCCTTTCCTCTGGATCTCAGCTCCTCCCGTTTCACCCTGGCCGCCACTGTCCATCAGGGCTGAGACAGATGTCCCAGGAATCTCCCACCAGCCCGGACACGCAGTCGGCTCCCGCCCGCGCCCGCGTGAGGAATCTCGGCAGCTGGCCCTTGGGGCCAGCAGGCCCTGCCCTGCGCTCGTGCGGCTGCCTGGCAGGGGGGCCGACCCCAGGCTTGCCCGGGCCAGGCTGGTGGGTGGAATCTTAATTGAGTTGGGACCCAGAGGCGGTGTCATGTGGCAACTGGGAACACACGCTTCGGAATCTGCCAGACACAGCTTCCATTCCTGAATCTGTTGGGTGACTTGGGACAAATTATTCCATCTCCTCACGTGCAAAATTACACTCCTAATGATTAAAATTGCGTATCAGTGATTCTACCCATAACCCCAAGCCTTGCACAGGGCATAGGGAGCAGCTGTGAGAGTTTAGAGCAGCGGTTCTCAACCTGTGAGTCACGACCCCTTTTGGGGCCGAACGACCCTTTCACAGGGGTCACCTAAGACCATCGGAAAACACATATATAATTACATATTGTTTTTGCGATTAATCACTATGCTTTAATTATGTTCAATTTGTAACGATGAAATTGGGGGTCACCACAACATGAGGAACTGTATTAAAGGGTCGTGGCATTAGGAAGGTTGAGAACCACTGGTTTAGAGGGATGATGGGTATTAACCTTTCACTCTACAGGACAACGCTAACAGCTCACACGTTCACCAGGCATTGACTGTATTCCGGGCCATGCGACCCCTTCGGACTATTTCCATGAATTCTCCCAGCAATGCCAAGACACGGGTCCCGTTGATCATCCCTGTGTTGTTCATGTAGCTCAGAGACTTGAAAGACTGTGCCCAGGATCACACAGCTGGGATTCTAATACAGGCAGGTCCAACCCCAACCCCACACACTGTCCCCCAAACGGTAGCTTTATAAATCATTCTGCCGCGGGCCATCAGCAGACCATTGACTAAGAACCAGAAAACCCGGGTTGGAAACAAGGCTTTGCTACCTCTGAGCGGGTGTAAGGTTTTTTTGTGTTTTTTTAAAAATATGTTTTTATTGATGTCAGAGAGGAAGGGAGAGGGAGAGAGAGATAGAAACATCAACGATGAGAGAGAATCATCAATAGTTTGCCTCCTGCATGGCCCCTACTGAGGACCGAGCCCACAACCTGGGCATGTGCCCTCCTGACCAGGAATCGAACCATGACCTCCTGGTTCAGGGGTCAACACTCAACCACTGAGCCACGCCGGCCGGGCAGTGGGTATAAGGTTTTGAGCAGTCCTGTGGCCTCTCATCCTGTCCCCTTGTGTGGGAGTGGAAGTAACAAGACCCATTCTGCCAACCGCACAGGGTAGCAGCCAGCTCAGATCAGATGCTGGGTGTAAGTGCTGTGTAGACCATCAAGCACTTGGCAAGCACGTGACAATGAATCTTCTATATGCCAGGCCAGCGAAGTGGCTGTCCCAGCTCCACTTGAATACTCCCAGGGACAGGGAGCTCACTACTTCTTTTAGCAGCTCATTCTGGTTAGAAAGTTCTTCCCTTTGCAAAGTCCACAGGGACTTGCCTCTGACTCCAACACACTGGCCCTGGCCAGGTCCTCGAGTGCCCTGCCAGCTGGAAAAATCCTTGCGGAACCCCACATCAGCTGCTGACGACAGCTAAGACCTGTGTCCTTGCTGCCGCCACTCTGCCCTGGGCGCCCTGAACACAGGAGGAGGCAGATGGAGGCAGGAGTGTTCTTGGTTTGCACTGGCTCCTCGCCGGCTAACTCTTCCCCCAGCCCCACTTGTCAGACTCCGGGCCAGGAGGAGAGAGGATCCAGGTCAAGGAAGCAGGTGAGGATGCAGCAGACACTGTTGGCTGCTCCAACCACTCACACTTCCTGATGTCCCTGTCCTCTGCCAACCCCTGCAGCGCCCCTGCTGGTCCTGCCACATCTGGCTGGCACTGGAGCTCTGGGGCCAGGATCGTGTGGCTCTTGGACCTCTTCCCTTGTCTGCCCCGACCCTCCTGCCACAGCAGTCGGCGGCCGCTCTGTGCCCGTACCTTGAAGGACTCCAGGAATCCCCCGTGGCCCCCGTTCTCAAACTTGTCCTCTTCCGGGCCGAGTCCCAGCATGGCCTGTGTGTGGGCATGGAGCTCGTCGTGAAGGTTGTCCAAGAGGGCGGCCCTCGTCCGGTCCTGGGAGGGGGAGGGGGAGATTGTGGAGCAGGCACTGAGAGCAGAGGGGGCTCCAGCCGCCTGGCTGAGGGCTGCTGTTCTGGCCAAGCGCATCTTGGTGACGGTGTGAGCTAAGGCCAGGATGGGCTTCACGCTCACCAATGTCGCAACTGGCACTACAGCTCAGTGCCCAGCCCCCTGCTCTCTTCCCGCTGCCCCTCCTCGCTGGGCCGCCCCACCCCGCCAGCTCTACCTGGCTCCTGGCCCGGCCCAGCTCTCTACCCCAAGCTCCACATCCATGTACCACTGCCCACTGCTTCTCTCCATCCAGATGTTCCTCCAGAGCCATCTGTACAACCTCCAGGGGGCGCCATACACCCAGACAGGGACAGGCCCTTTCGGTGACCCAGCCTGTGCAGGCACCTCCAGATCAGCAGTCCCTGGCACAGCTACCTCCCAGTGGTCGCCTGTCAGCAAAGAGCCCAGCTGAAGGCCTAAGAGCCACCCCACCAATCTACTTCCCCTCGCCCTTAATACGGAAGTCCATCGGGTCTTCCCCAAATCATTCCCCCTGTGCCTGGGGTAAGCAAGTTGCCATCGTCTCTCTTGAACTCCTGTCATAGCTTCTAACTGGCCACCCTTCCCGCCCTCCTCCCTTTCAATCTACCCTCCCCACCACTCAGAGTAATCATCGAATATGCAAAGCAAACATCACTCTCTGCCTAAGTCCTTTAATAGGGCCCATCCCCTCTAGCTCAAATCCCTTCTTGATATGACCCAACCTACGTCTCAAGCTGAGTCCCCACCATCCCATCCCCCAGGAGTCCTTCCCTCAGGCCACATCAAACCCTCTGGAACCCCTCACCAAGTCATGCTCTGATTCTGCCCTGATTCTTCTTTGCTCGTGCTGTTCCCATGCCTGGAATAACCCTCCCCCCTCTTTCCTCCCGGCAAACGGCTCATCAGATTCCCAGATTCAGCAGCTGAAGGGCCACCTCCTCCGAGAAGCCTTCCCTGAATACTCCCTAGACCCCCACAGGCAGAGGCAGTCACTATCCTAAGTCACAGCCCCCATTCTAGCCTCCATCAGGGCTCAGTGCTGGCAAACGGTATCTTTCCTCTAGTCATGGCCCCGCCCACCAGCCTGCGAACTCCGTACGAGCAGAAACTGAGTTGCATTTATGCCCGTGTCCCAGGAAACAGAACGGAGCCTGGCACACAGTAGGTGCTCAATAAACGATTGGTGAATGGCTGACTAGACCTGAAATTTGGACTTAGTTTCCACAAGAAGAGTTACTGTATGACCCAGGCAGAGCCTGGCTAACAGGAAGGCAGGAGGAAGACCTCAGAAAACTCGTTCTCACCTCCAGTTTCGCGAACTTGTCCGACTTGCAGCAGGCGTTCTCTGCGTTGGTGAGCTTGGTGAGCAGAAACTCCCTGAACTCGGGGCCCTGGAAGACAAGCAGTTCTGGGACTCTCCCAGCCTCACCATGGGCAGGTAGAACAACCTGGGGGGGGGTGCATCTAGGAGGGCCCCTGAAAAGTCCCTTCAGACATTGGATCACATCTAGCCCAGGCCAAGCCCAGCTGCTACGATGCCAACATGGAAACCAGCTCCCCAGGTCCTGGGAAACCAATCCTCCACACCCACAGTGGCATTCCCGTGCCTGGAGGCGACTTCTGCCCCAGGCTCCTGGTATAAAAACGCTTCTTTCAGCAGAAATTCAAACTCCCTGAACGAGACCCTGTGTTAGGCCAGGCTGGCAGCAGGAGCAGAGGTGGGGGAGACCCCAAGTAAAGCCCCCCAACCCTGCTGAATAAAGGTCCGGCTAACATCCCCGCCCAGGTTTGGCCCCACTGCAACCCCTGCCACTCCGGCGTGGGAGCCTGGCGTTTGGTTGTGAGAGGAGCAGAAGGGAGAGCGTCTTACCTTCTGGAAAACCGGGGGGTTGGGCAGAGGTGGGCCAAAGGCCGGCACGTCTTCCCGCGCGGTGACTGAGACCTGAAACAGCCTTGGTGTGAGCCAGGAGGGAAGACCCATGTGCCGTGCCCAGGCCCCAGGGCAGCCCCACTTCCCGCGGCAGATCTCGCCCCCTCCTCCCCTTGCCCCTGGGAGCCATGGCCAGCGTGGCAGAGCTCCTAGGAGTGGGCTGGATGGCATGGCACGATCACATGTTCGTCTGCACCGCTGGAGGCCAGGCATGAGCCTGGCAAGAGGAGTGGACAGGGCCTGGGACCCCACCTCTAACGCAGTGCAAGCACTCAGGACGCATCTCCTGGCCGCCCTGGCTGGGGTGCGAAGCCCACAGAGGAGGCGCGGTGAGAATTATCAGCCTCTTTCGCTGGTGAGGAAGCAGGTGCCCAGAGACATGGAGTGACCCTCCCAAAGGCACCCAGGGGATGAGCCACCGAGAAGAACAGAGAATCCAGACCCTGCTCTGGGGTTCTAACCTCAGCCCTGGCTCCCAACCTGTCCACACCTCAAGTGCTTAAACAAGAAATGCCAATGGCACGGGCTCCCCCCCACGCCTGAATCAGCAGCACCGAGGCGAGCCAGGAATCTGCAGCTGGGAGCTCCTGGGAGCTTCTGTGCAGCAGGTGGGTGAGCGGGCGGGTGAGCGTCTGGAAGCCCTGACCATCCCCCCCGCCCCCCACAGGGTCGGGCAGTCAGGGTGAGGCCTGAACCAATAGCGCGGCCCGGGCTGGGAAGTGGGGGTGGAGGGCATCGGGGTGTGCCGTGTGCTGCAGAGGGGGTACCACGCTCTGGGTGGGTGTGCACCTCTGGCCAGCCTGGCGAGGCACGAGTTAATGGAGTGAGAGCCCCCAGATGTTCTGTGTGGGGTCGCCCAGGCCTGGGACAGGCCCCACACCTCCATCTCCCCTCGCACCCAGGTGCCCTGGTTTCACCCGTCCTGGGCCCACGAGGCTGCAGGCCTCTCTGGAGATCTGCCCTCTCCCCCCTCCCAGGCGGGCGGCTCTGACGTGAGCACGGCCCTGGCCCCCCGCCAGCTGCTGGCCTGTGAAGTAGGGCAGATGCTGCGAGTCGGCCAGCCAGGGTGAGCAGGCAGCTCAGAGCCCGGCCAAGGAAAGGCCCGGCCAAGGGTCCGCAGGGGAAGGGAGTGGAGAGGGCTGGTCAGTACCAAGTTCAAAGCTGTCGGCAGGGCCCACACGGCAGCGACCACAGTCAGGGACCGGGGTGTGGACTGCTGACGTGATTTCTGGCTGGTTGCAGGTGCCAAATGCAGTTCCCCACACCACCCTCCATGCGCCATGGCACAAGTCAAGAATTCCAGCCCTAGAGCCAGAACCTGGGGAGGGGATGGTGGGAAGGCTCCTGACCGGCTGCCGGCCGGGCCAAGGCCGGAGGCCAGGCCTAGCCCTTGCTCTCCCCACCTGGACACCCCTCTCAGGCGTGTCCCACGTGGACTGTGCTGACTGGGCAAATGGCTTCGTGTATGTTCTGAAATCCACCAAGTGTCCAGACAGACAAGTCCGCCGCAGCAGCCACGTCAGAAAAGAGGGGACAGGCCCTTCCTGTGACGGCCCTTCCCCTCCCGTCCCCATTGTGCTCCCTCTCCTGACCCCTTTCCAGCAGAGCGCGGGCCTTTGTTGCTCCCGCCTCTTGGGGACGGTTGGGTTGCTGGGCAGAAAGCAGAAGCTCCACCTTCCTGTTTTCTAAATTCCGTGCAGGCCGCCCAGCAGGGGCTGAGCAGAGACTCTGCAAGGCTGGGAAGCTGACGGAGGCCAGGGCCTGTGAGGAATGAGGATGCGCCAGGAGGTGGGAACCTCGCAGGCTCACGCCCACGAGGGGCCTGGAAACCTCAGAGAACCGCCCAGGTCGCCAGAGCCACGGAGGGGGCATATGCAGACCCCTCTCCAAGGATCGGCTTCACCTAAGACCCCTGAGGCCTGTGCAGGACTTCAGGGGCCAGGCCCAGGGCGGCTCAGGCAGGAGGAGGAGGGAGGGAGGGAGGGAGTCCTGATGATGGCTCGGCTGGCATTCCCTTCCACCCTGGCAGGATGGGGACCAAACTTGTGTCTGGAAAACAATCCCATGTGACACTTGACGCGCACCCGGGCTCTGGAGCCAAGTTCCCGCCTGCTCCGACGGCTCAGTGTTGGCGACCACAGGCCGACCTGGACAAGGCGACGCCACCGTTGCCCTACTAAGTGCCCCTAATAAAGGGCACCTGAGGTGCCACACAGTTCCCCAAACCACTTCTTATCCGTCTCACACACACACCTGTTTCTCAACTTCCCCCTGCCCCTTCCGACCACATCAGGGCTGGAAGGAACGCTGAGGTTGTCTAGCCCAACTTCCTCATCCCACACAGACAGAACCAGAGGCCCAGAGGGAGCAGGGACTGGCCACGGTCACAGTCAGAGGACCAGCGCCCCAGGCTCCGAGACTCTAGGCCTGGGCCCTTTCCTGCATGCCCCCCCACCTCACCCTCCCCTCCTCTCCTATTGTTTGTCCTCCCCTGAGGGGCTTCCCAAGGCACCTCTGAGCCCAGGGAAACCTTCACCTGCTTTTCCAGAGCCCCTAAGCCTGCAAGCGTCAGCTAAGGTCTCGTTCCACCCTGGGCCCCTGAGGCACCTGACCAGGTCCTCCTCAGTCTGCTCATCACCTGGGGTTCACGGAGGTTTGGGGAGCACCTTGGAAGGCTGGACTCCCTCCCTGCCCCCTGCCTCCCTGGCCCCATTCACAGATCTTGCCTTCCAACCTCCACGCTCTCCTGACAGGTGGAGCACAAGGTCCCACATCGGGGGGCCAGCCCGGCTCTTCCTGGGGGTCCTGCCTCCCTGCTCCTCACCACCTCTCTCAGGGAAGCGCTTCTACCTGGACCGCAGGTGTGGCTGGGAAGACTTGGTAAAGACTTCTAGCATCAAAGCTGGAGGTGGGGTGCCCAGTGGGGACCTCTGACTTTTCTCTGTTTGTCCTAAGCTCTTGGGAAAGTGGAGAAGCCAGTTAACTGAGCTCCACTTCCTATCAGAAACTTTAAAAATGCTAAACGGCCACAAGAGGGCCCATTCGGCCAGCAGAGGCCCAGCAGACAAGACGAGCCACGCATATGCACGTGCACGGGACTGCCTGGCCGGGTCTGGGAGCCTCCCCGCCTCTCGCCCATCACACACCTTTCTTTGGGGATCCCAAGCAGTAGCTCTTCTCTCTCTTCCCTGAAGGCTGGTTCTGAAGGTCACTTGCATGTGCCCACCCCTGGCACACAGTAGGCACTGAGTGAATAAAATCTGCTTCCACCAACAAATCCAGCAGCTATTCGCCCATTTCGGTCAAAGCAAGTGAGCCTTCAGGGAGATGCCCAAACCACGGCTTCTCTACCTTTTCGGCTGAAACCGCTCAGTGACAGGAGGCCATGGACATGGACATGGGCATGAAAGAGATCGTCTCTCCTCCACAGCAGAGAGGTGTGGGGTTGGTTTGGTTATGTATTTGTTCATTGGTTGATTTCAGGGGTGTATTTTTTTTGAAGCCTCATACTTGGCTTTAAAGTTGATGTGAATTCTGCACTTAATCTGTCTGGCTTTGTACTGATATAGCAAGTATATCACATCATTTTATTTTCCCTAAAACTTCCAGCAACACGGATACTTCATGCAGACGGCTACGAGGCGCTAGGGCTTTGTACACCCCCAGAACCAGCACCGGCCCAAGTTATGACACAGGAAACGTTTCCAGGCCTCAGGGCTTCCCATCAGCATGGCAGGCTTTCCCCTCTCCCTGTGACAGCGGCTCCTAACCTTGTGGGGAGCAGGCAGGCCGCTGAGAACCTGAGCTGCGGCCTCTCCCCCTAGGAAACGCAGCGAAAACGCACAGAAGCACGTACACTCGACACTCTGAACGCAGCTGCAGGGGGTTCAAGGGCTACATGACATCCACTTAGAAACCCTGCTTCAGTCTGTCTCCCTGGGGTCTCATGCCCCCCAACACTGTGACGCAGAGAAACTGATGGCCAAGAGGCGGGGATTATTTCTGGTGGAGAGGCAGAGGGAGAGTTAGTGATTCAGCCACCAGAGGGCAGTGTGAGGGCCGCTGAGGTGGTGGGCTCACCCGCATCCATGAGGAATTTGAGCTCCTCTGAAAGACTGCTAATTGGTTAGGGCAGTGGTCGGCAAACTCATTAGTCAACAGAGCCAAATATCAACAGTACAACGATTGAAATTTCTTTTGAGAGCCAATTTTTTTAAACTTAAACTATATGGGTAGGTACACTGTTATTAACTTAATTAGGGTACTCCTAAGCTGGCCTTTGCTAAAAAACGTCCTCGCGAGCCGCGGTTTGCCGACCACTGGGTTAGGGGGCTGAGACCCACGTACTCATAATCCACCCCCTAGCAGTCTTCAAATTAACATCAACCATTTATTCCAGAAGAGCCAAACCAGAGGGGCCACCTGGGGGCCAGGGTCTCCCAGGCCCCTGCGCCCCACCCCTCTCACCATGAACACCCCTTTTCTTTCTTTTCTTGTTGCCACCCTCTTCCTCTCCCTTTCCTGACAGTCCTCTCTGTGTTTTCCTCCTCCCCGCTGGTTCTGCCAATGGCGTGACCAGATTCCCAATAGGAGCATCCGGGCCTCTCAACCCTTCGGTTAGATGATGCTGAGCCTGGAGAGGACCAGATGGATGAGATGACCTCAGAGGATGGGTGCTCCCCACTAAGAGTCGAGCCCCCAAATCCCAGAAACCTGAGAGCCGTGGAAAATCAGTTACACCACCGCCAGGAGTGGCACCTTGGAGACCAGGTCGAGGAACCACCGGGAACTGGTATTTCCTGGTCTCGCTGAATCCGAAAGTGTGGTGAGGCGCCTCGGCCACCACGCCCTCCAAGAGACGTTCTCCTCACCTTGTAGGCCGGGGGGTCCGTGCCCAGGCTCTCGGCCTGCACCACGATGTAGGCGTGTAGGAAGTTGGAGGCAATCATATCTGGGACAAACGGTGTGTTTTCTTCTTGGAAGATGATGGCCACAATGTCATTCCCAATGTGTCTCTTTCTCTGGAGCTAAACAAAAAGCATCCCATTGTTATAAGCCAGTTGGGAACATCCTGAAAGCAGAATAGATCTACACAGGAAATGCCTCGTTATGCTATCTTTATACATAAACCCTGGAACTCGCTCTCCAGGGAGCTTTCCGTTTTCACCTTTAGAAGCCAGCAAAAAGGAAAAAGTGGGGAAGGTGCCCAAGTTGTTAGGTAGAGACTAGCAGGCATCTCACTGAACTCTAGAGTGTGCAGAGCTCACACTCGGGACTCGGGGGGAAGAGTTCAAAGTGGAGGCCCAGGTTTTGCCCTGGGAGAGCCTGCAAGACCCAGGAGACTTTCTCTGGAGCTAAACAAAAAGCATCCCATTGTTATAAGCCAGTTGGGAACATCCTGGAAGCAGAATAGATCTACACAGGAAATGCCTCGTTATGCTATCTTTATACATAAACCCTGGAACTCGGAGACCTCGCTCTCCGGGGAGCTTTCCGTTTTCACCTTTAGAAGCCAGCAAAAAGGAAAAAGTGGGGAAGGTGCCCAAGTTGTTAGGTAGAGACTAGCAGGCATCTCACTGAACTCTAGAGTGTGCAGAGCTCACACTCGGGACTCGGGGGGAAGAGTTCAAAGTGGAGGCCCAGGTTTTGCCCTGGGAGAGCCTGCAAGTGACTCAGGAGAAACACAAACACAGGTGACGCTCCCTGAGAACAGGAACAAGGCCACCAGCCTGCAAACGGTGAACCAGCTCCTGCACACAAATGCCCGCCACTGTCGGGTGCAGGGGGCAGGGGAGAGGGCAAAGTCAGAGACCTGAGGGTAATCTGAGAAGGCTTCCTGGAAGAGGGGGTCATAGAGGGGGACAATTGATGGGAATGTGGGTGAGCAGGGATGAGGCGGCCGATCATTCTACACCAGAGGGGAGCAGAACCATGCTTAGAGACACAGGGGCAACATGGCTTCGTGGAGGTCATGGGGGAGAGAGAAATCCAACCCTGACTCAGTACCGCAAACTGGGCCAGTGCTTTCACCGGTGACCTCAGTCACCACGCACCTGCTGTGCGGCAGGAGCCATGCTGGGCTATCCACATGCACGATTTCAAATGACAAGGCCCTCCTGTACACCCAGTCCTGGCGAGGTGCTTGCCTGTGCATTTGTTCCTTTATTAAGCACCTACTGCATGCAGGTCCTAAGCTTCACTTTGAATTTCTTGTTGGAAGATGATGGCCACAATGCGCACCTGTTTTATATACTGAGCCCAGTTCTATATACTGAGCCCAGTGCTGGGCACTTTTACACAAATTCTCTCCCTTATTCTACACACACCATCTCGTTTCTTGGGAAGAGAAAATTAATATTTATTCAGTCCTTGCCAACAGCCAGTCTGGACATACTTCCCCCTTAACACCGGTGAGGCTGAACGCGGGCGGGGAAGGGCCCTCAGCCGCAGGCTGGGTGGCGGGAGGGGCCGTGAGGGGGCAGAGACTGGGGTGAAACACAGAGAAAACCTACTTTGGCTACAAAGGAATCCTGTCCCATGTGTTTCTGGAACATTCAGTAGTTATTTTAGAGCCAAATCACAGTCCCATTTGCCAATTTCCTTTTTTTTCCATAGAAGCCGAGCACTGTTTACAGTATTACATTTGTGCTCCCTCCCCATCCCCTCCTCAGAGACGGATGGGTCAGCGTCTGGCGAAAGGCCTACCTTCCCTGCTTATGCTCCTAGAATCTGAGAAGGCAAAGGGTGGGGTGCAGCAGCCAGAGATCCACTGCTGGATTCGGGGCTCTACAAGGAAAAAGCCAGGCCTTCCCCGGGGACACAGCATCAGAAGCAGCAACAGAGAGGGTGCGCAGGAAAACCCTTGGAGCGAGGTCCCCTCCAGGTTCTCTGGTTGAGGGAGGGGCTCGATTCCTGCCCACGGCAGGTGTGCTGTGAGCCCTGGGAGCCGAGGCTGTGAGACTAGAAAAGCTGGGGGGGGAGGTGTCTTGTGCACTAACCAGTGACAGCACTGGGGCAGGAAGTGGGGCCTTTTCTTTCTTTTCTGGGTAGCGAACAGCTGTCAGGGAGGAAGCCTGCCGCACGCCCGGCATCCTGCCGCACGCCCGGCATCGTACTGGGTCCTACATTCAGAACCAGGTGTGATCCTCACAACAACGCTCGGACATACATGGCGCTATCCCCATTTTACAGATGAGAACACTGAGGCCCGAGATCAACCGCTCGCCCAGAATCACATACCCCGAATCGCAGAGCTGGCGTCAAGGACATCTGCAGACCCCGTCGGGACTCTTCACCACCCCCCATGTGACCAGGGCCCCTGGGCTCCGCTCCCAGCTCTGCCCCAAGCAACCGGGACACAGTCTTTTGACCACACTGAGCTGCAGTGCTCCCTGGTCAGAGCGGGATAACCTCAGCCCTGCTGTCCTGTCTGCGTTGGTGAGATCGTGCGATAGAACAGGCTGTGAGGGGAACAGCACCGCTGGACAGACCGGCCTCTTGGTGGTGAAAGGGGAGGGGGTGCACTCCCTCAGGTAGGTGGGACCAGAAGACTCTCACCTCGCACGCCCCAGGCTCCCAGATCCCTCCCACCCCCGGTTACCTGCTGGGCGTCTCCCTCGGTAAAGGGCAGCTTTGTGGAGACGTGAAACATGATCTCCCTGTCCCGAAATATCGTGTACACCGACTCCACCCCCGTCTGTCCGTGGGTCACGTCCAGGCCTCCTCGGAAACTGTCAGCACAAAAAACGGGGCAAGTGCCACGGGGAGAGAGAGTGGGGGTTAGTGGGCAACTTGGCGCAACTTTCCCTAAAAACATGGAGCAGGTGAAGGGGCGTGGAGGGTTGGCTGAGAGACGGTGATGCGGGGAGAGCAGGCGGGTCTGCCCTTCTGAGCAGACGAGCCCTGGCGTCCGCCCAGAAACCCACACTGAAAAGACAAAGACGAATTCCAAGCTTTGGCTGCGTCCCCTCCATAACGTAAGTCATGTGGGAAGGGAGGCCGTCCACCCACAAATCCCAATGAGTGCTGTCCTGGGTGCCAGTGGCCCCTAAGGCTGCGCACCAGCCTATGCTCCCTGCAAGGCCAGGTCCAAGTCCTCGGCCCAAAGCCCAGGAAACCGGCCATCCTGCTGGGTGGTGGTGAGCCCCACAGGAGCCTCCAGTCAGCCTGAAGAGGTGACAGGTGCCTGACTTCTGGCCAGCCGGCGTCCGATGTGGGGACAGGACCCCACACGGCAGCACCCAGCCTGGAGGTACCACAGGCGGGAAAGGAGCTAAGGAACGGGGTGGCCTCTGGCAGCTGCCCCTTCTTCCTTTATGGACACGGGCTGCTAGCCACGGATCACACTCTTCAGCATGAAGAGGAGGATGCAGGTTCCTTTAAGAAGATGAAATCAAATAGACCCTGGACATCAGTCCCCCCAGGCTCTGCAATACGGTCCAGGAAACGTGCTCGGCCGGCGTGGCAGAAAGCACGCGGGCCGGGGTCAGGCGCTCCAGGCTCTAGACCTGCTTCTGCCCCTAAGTCAGCCCAGGGCCTTGGCATTTCCCTTCATCTCTCTGGGCCCATTTCCTTTCTCTGTAAAATAAAGGGGTAGGACTTGGCCAGCATGGCCTGGTGGTTAGAGCTTTGGCCTGTGCACCGGAGGGCCTCGGGATTGATTCCGGGTCAAGGACATGGTCCTGGGTTGCTGGTTTGATCCCCGGCCCCATCAGGGTACATACGGGAGGCAACCAATCGATGTGTCTTTCTCACCTCTCTCTCTCTCTCTCTCTCTCCCTCTCTCTCTCTCTCTCTCTTTTTCTCTTTTTCTCTCTCTTCCCTCCCTCCTTCCCTCCCCTTCCACTCTCTCTAAAAGTCAATGTAAAACTATCCTCAGGTGAGGATTAACAGAAATAAATAAGTAAATTTAAAAAGTAAAGGGATGGGACGACATGACCTCTGGGTCCTCCCTGGTTTTAACAGACTTCATTGCATCTATTCAAGACACATCCTTTCCCATTTTACATCTGTGAAATCTGGACGCACCTTACAAAGATGGCACCTCAGGGTCAATGGAGGTGGTGCGTCCTCTCTGCTCAGCACCAGCTCACATGTCTCACGGGATGATCTGCCTTAACCCCCAGCAGCCTGTGGGGTCAGCACTGTCTACCTCCCTTTTACAGATGAGGAAACTGAGGCTCGCAGAGGTTAAATCACGTGTCCAAAGTCACAGAGCTACCAAGTAATGGAGGCGGAACTGTAACCCATGTGAGACTGAGGCCGGACAGTGACGACCTTGAAGGAAAGGAGGATGGAGGGAGAGGGGGGAAGGGGAAGGAAGAGGAGAGAAGGAAGCCGAGGAAGAACACCTAGGGATTCCAGAACACCTACTGCCTGACAGGCCTGGGGGTTCTCACACGCGTCGGGAGATCCTGTTAACGTGGCTGCTGGAGCGGGGAATTCGGGGGCTGCCGCGTGCCGGCCGTGACACACAGCACAGTCCGGCCAGGTCTGAAGGTCCCTCCCAAAGGTGGCCTTTGCCAAGGAAAACCGAAGTCCAGAGTTTTCCAAGCAATAGCTCCCATGTGCTTTCTGTCCACTTGGAGAACCACGGACGGTGGCATAGATTCCTGCCGGGGGGAGGGGGCTACGGGTGTGGGCTACTGTATTTCTACCAACTCTTAGTTATCCATCCTTCCTGTGTATGATCTAAAATGGATCATGTCCCCCAAACATAGTTGGTCCGACGGTTGTGGGTTATTGTTAAGCTGATTAACATGTCCCCCAAACAGCACAGGGCCCGCTTCTATGCTAGTTGGTCCGACGGTTGTGGGTTATTGTTAAGCACAGGGCCCGCTTCCCTGAATGCTGGCAGGTGAGTGATAGGGAAGGTGGATTCATTAAGCTCTCCGTCTGAGCCAAATGTAACTAGGAAAGCGCATCTGAGCGGGAGCAGTTTCATCATGCATCCTAGGCCGGTGTCAACGCCTTTCAGATAACCTGCATCCTTGATTATCCCCTGGGCTCCTGTCCCCTTGGAAAGGAGTGTTGATCATTTGCTGAAACGCAACCCCGTGTTTCCTGTGGGGGTGTGTGTGTGTGGGGGGGTATATATTTTTATTGATTTCAGAGAGCAAGAGAGAGGGAGAGATAGAAACATCAATGATGAGAGAGAATCATTGATCGGCTGCCTCCTGCATCAAGCCTGCAACCCGGGCATGTATCCTGACTGGGAATCAAACTGTGACCTCCTGGTTCATAGGTCGATGCTCAACCACTGAGCCACACCAGCTGGGCTCTAGTGTATGTTTTTAAGTCTCACATGCCCTCCCTGAACTAGGCTGTCGCCCCTTGCCCTTCCTCCAAGTCCTCACCCGTGGGGCTGGAGCCATCGCGTGGCCGGCACCTACCCTTTGAAGTCCTGCAGGGTGATGGTGTCCCCCAGCAGGTCCAAGAACTCCCTGAAAGCTGGGCTCTCCTCGTTGTTCCCAAACAGCTCCTCCTCCAGCGTCTGGAAGACACACAGGCCAGGGGCAGGGGTTAGAAAGAGACTTCTTGGTGCCAAAGGAAGGAACGTGGTTGTCCAGTTACTGGTCCCTTTCTCTCTTTCTCCCCGTTCCCCACCACAATCGCCATCCAGTGGCTCTGTCCTTGCCTGGAGGAAGGACTGGGGCTCACTCACAGACCTGGATGTGGGGGGCTGGTTAATGAGGACTTTCTCTTCAAACACAAGCTGCTGGTCAGTACAAAGGTGGGGCTCAGTTAATGGAGCGTCCTCCCATACACCAAAACACAAAGCTGAAGCAAAGAGCTCTTAGACAGGGTGCCAAAAACCAATCCGTAAATGACAACTGATAGCTGGACTTCTGACCAAGGACTCCTACCTAGAATATAGAGAGAACTCTTAAAACTCAATCATAACCAAAACCACAAGAAGATACTACTTTACACGCACTGATGGCTAGGATCAAAAAGAAAGGCAAGTGTTGGGGAGAGTGTAAAAAGATCAGAATCCACATGTGCTGCCGGGGGAATATAAATGGCGCTGTCACTTTGGAAAGTCTGGCAGTTCCTCAAAAGGCTGAACAGAGCATTACCATAAGACCCACAATTCCACTCCTAACAATATATCGAAGAGACATAAAAACACAAGTCCACACAAAAATTGGAACGTTAATAGCAGCATTCTTCATAAAAGCCCCAAAATGGAAACAGCTGAAATGCCCATCAGCTGACAAATGAATAAACAACATGTGGTACGTCTATACAATGGAATATCCTTCAGCCATAAAAAGGCGTAAAGTGCTGACTCATGCTACAACATGGATGAACCTCGAAAACATTATGCTAAGTGACAGACGCCAGACACAAAAGGCCGCATGTTATGATTCCATTTATATGAAATGTCCAGACCAGGAAACCCATAGAGACAGACAGTCGATTGGTGGTTACCCAGAGGTAAGAGAGTGGTGATGGAGAGTGACTGCTAATGAATGTAGACTTTCTTTGGGGTTGATGGGAATGTTATGGAGTTAGATAGTGGTGATAGTTGCATCATTCCGTGAATATTCAACTGAACTGTACACTTTATTTAGATATAATCCACATACCGCTGGAGCATCCTCTTCTTACTTCTGCTTTCTATTTTAAGGATTAGGGTCTACTGTGATTAACTTTCCTTTTGAAGTTTCTATTACTATGCTAATAAAAAAAAAGAAAATAGTCAAAAGACATGACAATCATTTCACCTAAGAGGATATACAGATGGCAAATAAGCATATGAAAAGATGTTCAACATTATCAGCCATTAGAGAAATGCAAATTAGAATAATAATAATAAGATATAAATATAACGAGGTATCACTGCACATCTACCAGAACAGACAAAATAAAAAATACTAACAACACCCAATGCTGCCAAGGATGTGGAGATAACAGACCAATCAAATATTGCTGGTAGGAATGCAAAATGGAACAACCGCTCTCAAAAATAGTTTGGCAGTTTCTTATAGAACTAAGCATATAGGTACCTTATAACCCAGCAATTGTACCGCTGGGCATTTAGCCCACAAATTTAAAAACTTATGCTCATAAAAACCTGTCTACAAATGTCCAAAGCAGCTTTATTCAGAATAGTCAAAACCTGGAAACAACCCAGCTTTTGGTCAGTGGGTGAATGGTTAAACAGACTGTGGTACACCCACACCATGGAATACTACTCAGCCATAAAAAAGAATAAACTCTTGACATGCTGCAACACTTGGATGAATTTCACCAAGTGGAAAAAAGCCAATCCCAAAACTTTATATACTGTATGATGCGATTCAGAGAACATTTTTGAAAGGACAAAGTTTTAGAAATTGGAGAACAGATTAGTAGTTGCCAAGAGTTAGAGACTGGAGAGGGAAGGGAGCATAAGAGGCAGGAGGAAGATTGGCATGGTTACAAAAAGGAAACGCAAGATGTCCTAAAAGCAAAAAGTGAACTGGAATTCTGTATCTTGACTGTCTAACCTAAACATGTGATAAAATTATATAGAATGAAATACACTCACACACACACACACACACACCAGATGAGTACATATAAAACTGGGGAAGTCAGAATAAGACACATGGATTGCACAGTTGTGATATTGCACTATCCTATCTAATAAGAGACAAACATGGAAATTGACCATACCTTCGCTACGCCTCCCATTGGCTAATCAGTGTGATATGCAAATTCACCACCAACAAAGATGGTAGTTAATTTGCATACATAGGCTCCAAGCGGTGGAGTGAAGCCTGACGGCCCGGGGCCAGTAGAGCAGGGAGGCCTGACATTTCCGGGGCCGGCGGAGCAGCGAGGCCTCATGGCTCCCGGGCCGGCTCCTGCCAGAGCAAAGGCCTGGGCCCCGGGTGCCGGAGGCAAACCAGTGCCAGCAGCCAGGGGAAAGGAAGGCCTATTGCACGAATCTCTTCGTGCAACAGGCCTCTAGTCTATATATATAAAAGACTAAGCGACCAGCCAACCAGCTGGTAGCTATGACCCACACTGACCACCAGGGGGCAGACACTCAACACAGGAGCAGAAACCACAGGCATGGAAACATTGAACAGACTGATGAATCTCAGAAAGAAATTGAGAGGGAGAAAGGGGGAAGAGTAACCAAAGAACCATTCAACCGGTAGCTATGATGCACACTGACCACCAGGGGGCAGATGCTCAATGCACAGATATGGAAACATTGAACAGACTGATGAATCTCAGAGAGAAATTGAGAGGAAGAAAGGGGGAGAGTGGGAAGAGATTAACCAAAGATCTTATATGCATACTAGAGGCCCAATGCACCAGTGGGGTCCCTTGGCCTTGCCTGCACCCTCTTACAATCCGGAAGCCCTCGGGGGATGTCAGAGAGCCCCACAGGCCAGGCCAAGGGACGCCACCAGTGCACAAATCTGTGCACCAGGCCCCTATTAGTTTTATAAGACACTAGAGGCCCAATAAACGAAAATCAGGCAAGAGTAGGCCCTCGCAGCCCCAGCTGCCTTGAGGCCCCACCCCACACCCACTGGTTGTTCTGGAAGGTCATCTGAAAGGTCGTTCAGGAAGGTCATTCTGCCATCCGGTCTAATTAGCATATTAGCTCTTTTTTAAATAGGATTTCTGGTGGGGGAAACTGGGTAAAGGTTGCACAGATCTTTCTATAAATTTCTTACAACTACATGTAAATCTACAAATATCTAAAAACTAGAAGTTTAATAACGTTTTTTAATAGAAGGCAAAGCTAAAAACAGCAGTAGGCTCTACAATTGTGACAGGCTTGAAACACTGAGTGGCCCACCGATCAGCAGGCTCTCCCACAGTGGCAGGATCTGCAGACAGCTGAGGGCATCCACAGATGGCCACGAGCAGCCTCAGATGACACAGACACTCCCGTCTGCGCCACCGCTTGGAGGAGAAAGTCTCCAACAGGGGTTCTTTAACACCTCCTTAACGAGTACATTAGACAAAAAAGAGCTGAGCCCAGGTCCCAACCCTTCAACGGGTAACAGAATCCAGTCAGACTTCAGTAACTTTTAATTTTTACAGTATTTCTGCTTAGAACAGGGGTGGGCAAACTTTTTGACTTGAGGGCCACAATGGGTTCTTAAACTGGACCGGAGGGCCGGAACAAAAGCATGGATGGAGCATTTGTGTGAACTAATATAAATTCAAAGTAAACATCATTACATAAAAGGATACGGTCTTTTTTTTTTTTAGTTTTATTCATTTCAAACGGGCTGGATCCGGCCCGCGGGCCATAGTTTGCCCACGGCTGGCTTAGAACCACCTTCATTTCATGTACAACGATACTGATTTTCCAGAGTATCAAAATAAAAATTTCCTTTCAAAATAAATGCATTTCAGCCCGGCCGGCACGGCTCAGTGGTAGAGCGTCAACCTATGAACCAGGAGGTCCCAGTTCGATCCCTGGGTAGGGCATATACTGGGATTGTGGGCTCAATCCCCAGTAGGGGGCATACATGAAGTAGTCAATCAATGATTCACTCTCTTCATTGATGTTTCTATCTCTCTCTCCCTCTCCCTTCCTCTCTGAGATCAATAAAAACATATTAAAAATAATAAATGCATTTCAGTTGAAAAAACTTTTAAAGAAAATATTAGGCAATTGATAGTAGAGGTGTGATAAAAACTGTAACAGTGCCATAGAGTGGGACAAACGATACTGAGTATGGTTTGTGAATGTCTGAAGTTTGGGACACACCACTCTCTAGCAGAGGCCTGCAAACTAGCCCTGTGGGCCAAGTCTGGCCTGCTGCCTGTTTTTATAAATAAAATTTTATTGGAACACAATCAGGCCAACTCATTTACATATTGCCTTTGGCTGCCTTTGCACTATAGAGGCAGAGTTGAGTGGCCACAACAGAGACAGTAGGCCCATGAAGTCTAAAATATTTACCATCTAGCCCTGCACAGAAAACTTTCATAGCGTGCCAGGAAGGCATCCCAACTCTAGCCCAGCATCCCATCGGCCCCAGGTTATGAGGCGAGTGTGGGAGAACAACTAGTTCCAGACAACAACATCTCCTTCTGGGAAAACATTTCAGCTAGAGCGCTCTCCAGATTTATCCCCAGCCTGGTATGAGCATTATCTTTATTTTGTACTGGCCTTGAGCTTAACCATGCACTCAGGGAGGGGGTCTTCGTCATCACTTGTATCCCCCACAATGCTTAGCACAGTGCCTGACAAACAGAAGAGTGAGATGGGGCTTATTTATACCCTGCGACCAGCATAGGGCTTTCATACAACAAATGTTCACATTAAATGTCCCCAGGCCGTAGGTTTGCAGAATAACAATCTGCCAAGTTTCAAAAAAAAAAAAAAAAACTCCCTGTGCGCCCCCACCTTGCCTCCACAGCATCAGGTACATAAACCACAGACTCCTGCTTGGAGGTGGATGGTTAGCGTTCAGTGATTATAACTTTGCTGGAACATTGGATTGTAATCACTTTATGAGATCTGCTTTGGTAAATTTCACAAGCAACGAGCTTTAATTAGGTGGGTTACGTGAGCAGAGCTGTGCAAAATAAAAACGCAGTCTGTGAAAGCAATCAGAGCGGCTACCTGAATAATCTCCCTTCCATTACATGATTTATCTGTGTTGGTTTTTCAGCTCCTAAACTCTTCACTTAATTAGAGTGTTTTTAA